TTTTGGGTATGGCTTCTTGGAGATTTTGCCTTACTTTTCAGGGTTTTTCTAAACTGCAGGTTTATTATGGAAACAGATATCCTGTAGGCCCTCTGGGTCAGTCCAATCAACTTTTGCCCTCTAGGATTTAGCATCTGTGGTTCTGACCCATGTGTGTATGAGTTGGTATAAGTCAGGTAATTCTAGGTCAGATGTATTTCAAAGGGGTTTAAACTATTTAGGGAAACTTAGAGCTTTTAATTCAGCTGAGGTCCAAACTTTAAATTCTCCAGTTGCCTGAATACCTGGTTCATGGAGGGAAGGATCTTAAGAGGCAACTGGCATTTTAGATTTTGGGGAACGTTGTTGGGAAAAGGTAGGGGACCTGAACAAGGACAACTGGAGGGAGGAGTTGATGGAGGTATAGAAGGAGAGAGATTGGAAGGATAAGGGCTGGAGGGAGATCTGGATATAGGGAGGGAACTGGTGGACGAGGACAGAGGATTTACTAGGGAAATGAGTCTCATTGTTCATTGTTGTCAAACTGCACATTAGCTTTGGCCAAATAATCTTTTAATGAAGCCGTTTTTGATTCAGAGTTTCACTTGGAGACCTCTGTATAACTAAAAATGCTGCTCATTGAAACTGAGAAATCTTATTTCCATTCTTTTCTAAGGTGCCTCTCAAATGAACAACTTCAAATTCAATGTTCTCCACAGTGGCCATTAAAGGCTCACATAACCCTTGGTAAAATTATGCCATTTAGAAAGACAGGCACAAGAATTAGGATTCTAAATGAGAACACATATAAGAAGCAGACATTTTTTTTCCCCTGGAAGAGGTGAGGATTTAGACTTAGATGACTCAGTAAGAGCTGGTGATGGTCAGCAAAATGTGCTGGTGTGTCTGTGTCAGAGGCCCCCAACCTGATAGTCGGTGCCTCTGAATGTGGACTGTGGTAGATGGAAAACTAGGGAGAACACTCTTTCTGGATCAAACCCGAACTCTAAAAGCAAAACATAAAAACAGGAAAACCTCACCCACTTTTATTGATAATCCACAGAAAAGTTTGTCCAAGTGGAAGCTTGTCTGGTTGTGAACTGCAAACTCACTGGACTGTGAGGCTGGCTCAAACAACAGGTGTGTAGGGCCTGTGACTGGGTTGTACTCTGCGGTCTTCTTTCTTGTGACAAACAACACTTTTAGACCATACAACACAAAGTGGAAACGAAAGCGAGTAAAAGGAGATGAAAAGAAATGGTTTGATTCTACCAAGGCTGCCAAGCAAATGGAACTGATAACAGAACATGCGTACCAAACTGAGAGTAAATAGACAAGGAACTCAGTGTAAAGAAAGAGTTCAGATCTGGTGCCGACCTATCACGCTGGGCTGTGTGGAACATTTCTCACACACGAAAAATGGAAAACGAACGCCCAAATGGGAACAAGCTGAGGCGATTTATTTAGAGCTTGCCATAGCAAGGGAGTTAGCCCCATCACTTGCGTTTGACAGAGACTTATTGGCAGGCAGGGGAGTTGGAAAATTTTATAGTGAGAAAGGAGGAGGCTTCAGGTATGTCTGACTGGAAGTTACTGGCATAGGGAAGCTGGAGGTGGACTGACTAGAAGTGGGGCATCCTATGTGATTGGTAGGTTTGTGCACCATGTGTCTTAGTCATAGCATATTTGGCTTTTTCTGATTGGTCCTGAGTTGGAGGTGAGGGTGGAAATGAGAAAACTTGGCAGTTATTGAACAAATCTGTACCATTTTGGAGCCAGTTACTGCAGAGACTCTGGTTTGGCTTCTGGGATAGTTGCTGCAGAGGTTATGGGTTAGACTTCTACTGTCATGTGTGGTCTGGACATTGTTCGTTCGTATTTTCAGTCTCCCAGATCCTATTATCCTTTTGGCTACCAAGGAGTCCAGCTCTCTAATGGCATTTCCTGCCCTCACCTTGGCCTACTGAGCTTCTCAATGATCCTGGTGGCTCTCTAGGGCATTTCTTTGTTACACAATGTCCCCTCCAACACATCATAGTAGCTGATGTATTTTATAGTCTTAGGTAGTATATCCACTGTATCATATCCACTTTTCTGGATAAAGTGTGGGACATCTTTTTCTCTAACCCTGCAAGATCCACCCGTCAGATTGTTAGCACTGTCTCACAGCATCTTTGCCAGAGTGTTAAATTGTGTATTTTGGGAGAGTGCTTCAAAATGGATAAACTCTTCGTTTTCTCAGCTGACTTCGAGCACTCTGTCTTATACTTGACTCTTGCTGGTATATGTTGGGTGACACCCACAGCAATTCTAGGGTATATAGAGCCCCTTTCCTTAGTTACAGGCCCAGTATTTCCCTGGCTAGGTTATAACATGCTTTAGTTACTGGGCTGTGGCAAAGAAAGGCGGTGAAGGTAGATCCCGAGGTGGGTGCATGTTATCTCGCTAGGCAGAGGCTTCTATATCATCTTATGCAAGCGTGGAGTGCCAACCTTTAATAGAGAGGAGTAGGCCACTTTTCGAGGCCAAGAGGATTGAGGGGGGCTTGAGATTCGATATTCAAGTGAATCTACTTGGTCGTCTTCATCTAGTGTTTCAGAGCCCAATCAGGACTGGGACCCCACCATTACAGACTTTCCTAGTTTGAGAATTTAGCCTTTATAGTACACCACTATCTTTGCAGTAAATTCCAGACCAGATCCTCAGTTGCTTTTCCTCCCGTTAGCTACAGGAGATGAAAGGCTATTTGTATGCTGCCAAGGAGACTGTCTGTATTTCATATTTGGGTTTTATTGGTAATTAATCACCCTCTGATTTCATTTTCTTTCTTAAATACATTTATTGTCCCAGAAACAGCTATTCAATTCCTCATTATTTGTAAATATCATGTATATAATTATGCTGTGCCCCCAATTTTTCTAATGCCTGGGATTCTACCAATGCCAGTATATGGCCTTTTTCCAGAGTCCCAGTTGGTTTGCCATTGATTAAGATCTTACCTACTTTCCTGTAACATGCCATGGGCTGTTCATGCTCCATGATTCAGCTCTGAAATCCATTTTAGTGGCTGCTTCCTATGACAGCCCCTCACACCAGCTATCTTAAATTGGCATGGGAAGACTTTGAGACGGAGTTTTGCATGTAGACATTTTGAAGAAAGAAAATCTGACAGGACAGATGGAGGAGTTGAACTGGGATGCAGCTGAAACAGAGCCTCAGCTAACTCAGTGAGAGCCCTAGATTTGGGATAATTCTTCAGAGTTGTCTCAACTTAAAGCAATTGAGCTGGGCCTGTATACCCACTAATTGAATAGTTATTGGCATGGATTACCCATGGAGGCTAAGGGTAATTCCTGGAGAGCAACTGAGTTTAGTTGCTAATACTCCCAGCATTCTTGATGGGGTTGGGACTATGGGCAGTGCAGCCTAGCATCATTACTGCATTGAAATTGGAAGTTGGGCCGTGTATGATTGCTTGAGGATGGGAACTGTGATTTTTGAGTTGCAAGTTATGTGAGCTCCATTAAGTTTGGCTCTGAGCTTTGGCTTTTAGGAAGCTAGAAAGAGGCAAATGTAAAATTCAAATATGGAGCAGACATGCCTGTAATCCCAGTACTTTGGGAGGCTAAAGTGGGAGGATCATTTGAGCCCAGGAGTTTGAGATCAGCTTGGGCAACAGAGATGATTCTCTCTACAAAAAATGAAAATAAAAAACATTAGCCAGGCATGGTGGCACATGCCTGTAGTCCCAGCTACTGAGGAGGCTGAGGTGGGAGGATTGCCTGAGCACAGGAGGTCAAGGCTGCAGTGAGCTATGATCATGCCACTACACTCCAGTCTGAGAGACAGAGTGAGACCCTGTCTCTAAAAAAGAAAACAAATTTGGAACAGAAAATGAATTCATATTCAAAATATGTCTATATACCAAAATTTTTGCCCAGGGGAAAATCAGTGTCATTAAATGCTACCAAATGACTGGAGGTTTTATGCCTGAGGAAATATAATTATTGAGCTAATTAATATAGAATTTAAAATAAGAATGTTTAATTTCTCCTAGAGATAAAGGAGATAACATCCATGAAACTAGAAAAGTTCATGACCTTGACCAAAAAGATATCAAAAACCCATGTAATCAGAAGTGTTGAAAATGGAAAATGCAGTATTTGAAATAAAGTCTTATAAAGAATCATAAATTTTGAAAACAGTGACAGAATCAGTTAATTGGAAGAGCGAAACTGTGCTATGATACAGGGTATGAAAATATAATATAGATATTAAGAGATCTGGGAGAGGGCATTGATTAAGCAGCACAATTTCTCTATTAGGAGTTTAAGAGATTGGAGAGAGGTTCAAACGTCCAAGAGATATTGACTTTTCTCTTTGAGATCTTATGGGAAGAATTAATTCTCCAGCTATAGAAAGCTCACTGAGTTGCAGCTGGCAAAAATCTACCATCAAACACATCAGGTTCAGTGAAACCATAGGGCATCGAAGTAAAAAAAAAACACTAACATAAACAGCCTAATTCTGTGTAAAGGAATGACAATACAAATGTTGACTTCTCACCTGCAACAATAAATGGGAGGGAAAATAGTATAGTTATCTTTAAAGCAGTGAGAAAGTATAGGATTTATTTTAGAATTCCAAACCCAGCTACAATAGTACAAGTTTGAAGGTGTAACTGAAATATTTGCAGACATACGAACCCAAGATTTACCACATAAACCACAACCGAAAGAATTCTTAAAAAGTATATCTTGGATTGATATGCAGTAGCTTTGAAGGTCTCTTTAAAAAAAAAAGAGCATACTTTGGAAAGAAGACAAATAAGGCCAGAATAAAGGAGTGGAATGCAAGAATAGAAGGTGAGCAGATTAACTGGTAAAGCATACTGGAAAATCTACATAATAATTATTAAAGTTCAACAGAAAAAAAAACTAGCATCTCATTGGCTTTAACTTTATCAGCAATAATTTATTTTATTACGAAAACAAGGCAAACCTGGCAAAACAATGACATTTTAAAATCAGTGCTGTATGTAGTTATTTAAAACAGACAAAACCTTCAAAAAAAGGCAAAAAACCCAAAGTGGAGCTAGAATCATATAAAATATTGTGGAATAGACAAAAATGCAAAGCTACTTGTAGTCAGAAATTCTATTAGAACAAATCACCACAAACTTGTGATGAAAAAAGAAATTACAAAAAGTCATCTTATGCATACAGAAAAAGTTTCTTAAATTTTTAACATTTAAAACCTTAAATGGACCCTGCAGTTACTGCCTTTCTCCTTCCACTCGTGTCTTCTCAGGTCCTCATAAAGCATCCAATTTTTTTTTTTTTTTTGAGACAGAGTTTTGCTCTTTTTACCCAGGCTGGAGTGCAATGGCGCGATCTCGGCTCACCGCAACCTCCACCTCCTGGGTTCAGGCAATTCTCCTGCCTCAGCCTCCTGAGTAGCTGGGATTACAGGCACACGCCACCATGCCCAGCTAATTTTTTGTATTTTTAGTAGAGACGGGTTTCACCATGTTGACCAGGATGGTCTCGATCTCTTGACCTCGTGATCCACCCGCCTCGGCGTCCCAAAGTGCTGGGCATCCAATTGTTTTAAATCCCTGAAGCCCAAAGCCTGGTCTCATTAGTGCTCTTGCCAGGTTTCTGTACATACTCTTATGGCTCAAAGGTTCCGTCTAGCTATTTTATGTATATACGCAAATAATTAAACATCAACATTTAAAACAACTTGATAACATCTTTGTAGTAACTTAAGACAAAAACAAAGCAAAAATCCAGCACTTTTTCATTATCTGAAAGACTGAAAATTAACTGCTTCAATAGGTTAAGGGTTATCTAACAGCCATCTACAGTAAAGATCATCCTTTGTGGGAAAATGTAGAGGCATTAACACAAGGCATAAAACAGCAATGCCCATATCAACCATACTGTGCAACCTGGACTTGAAGTAATATCCAATATAAAAGATTAAGCAAACATAAGACGTTAGAAGCTTGTCAAAAGAGACAATATTCTCCTTATTTGGAGATATTGTTTTTATAAATCAATCAAGAGTCTACAGATAAACCATTAAAGAAATTCAGTAATTTTATCTGATACAAGATCAACCTAAGAAATTATTTCTGGCCTGGTGCGGTGGCTCATGCCTGTAATCCCAGCACTTTAGGAGGCCGAGGCAGGTGGATCACCTGAAGTCAGGAGCTCAAGACCAGCCTGGCCAACAGGGTGAAACCCTGTCTCTACTAAAAATACAAAATTAGCTGGGTGTGGTGGCGCATGCCTGTGATCCCGGCTACTTGAGAGGCTTGAACCTGTGAGGCAGAGGTTGCAGTGAACTGAGATCGCACCATTGCACTCCAGCCAGGGCAAGAAGAGCGAAACTCTGTCTCAAAAAACAAACAAATAAAACAACACCAACACACACACAAACAATCTTAGAATTATAAGCTTTTCCAGGATAAAAGAATTATGTTAAAAAATATACAGGAAGAAATGAATGGAAAAGAGCTGGCTGTAAGAGTTGGGGTGGGGTGGGGTGGGGAAAGCCCAACAACATAAACAATTTTCTAAGTCAATCATGAAAAAAAGGAGGACACGTAATCATTATTCCCAGTTCTGTCTGTTTCAGAAACAACAAACATTTGTCCAGGTAAAACTATTTGCAAGATTCCCCAAAAGGGGCTCAGGCCACTATAGGGAAAAGGTCCATGGTGAGAAGGTCATCATAAAGGGACTAGGGCCAAAACCCATTAAACAAAATAAATGTAGTAATGAACTTGAGAGAAAAGGCTTGCCATGGTAGGGTGCTGGGGAAAGGGTGGATTTTTAGAGAAAAGTGCTGGGACTGAGGTTTAAAGCAAAACCAGGGGGAATGGAGCTGCCTAGGGGTGACTTCCATACAAAACAGGCCCGAAGCAGCAGTCTCACAGTCTGAAAGTATTTCAACTAGCGTGTTTTTATGCTGAGGAGGATCTTTTTTTCCCCAGACATTCTAAATCAGCCACTGATCCAAAATTCTGCAATCCAGCCTGTATCAAAAAAGCATTTTTCCGTTATTCATTCTTGGAGATCCTTGTAGGTTGCGCCACACACATACTACGGCTATCAGGAGACAGTCGCCTGGACCCCAGCAGGGTGACAACGGATTGTGGGAGGCAGTTCATTCCTGAAACAGTCGTCTCCGGGCCTTGCACAGAGGGCGCTCTGGGAGCTCTGGGCGCGCTTGGGGACCTGGACTCAGAGAGGGAGGTAGAGGTTGCAGAGGTGAGGTGGGAACAGGCTCCAGAAAGTGGAATTCCTGGTCGCAGTTGGGGCGTGGAGAGCGTCTCTCTGAACTGGGGATGGGGGCCAGAGCACAGGGCTCTGGGATGGGGCTCTCCTGGTAGGGGCCGAACATACTTCTAGCGGAGTGGTAGAGCCCAGCGGCTGAGCCGGCTGGGGAGTCCATCCAGAGCTCCTGGAACTCGGAGTCCGCGTCCTCCTCGTACACCTCCTCCTGGGCGGCGACCTCTGGGACAGATGCGCAGAATTCCTGCTCGACGACGACGTCCTCCCCGAGAGCGCCCAGGAAAACGTCCGCTACCAGGAAGGCAGACAAGTCGCCCTGCGCTCCTGAGCGTTCGTCGAGGGAGCTCAGGAGGACCTCGGGGATCAGGAAGAGGGTGTGTCCACCGAGAGACACTCGCATGATCGACGTGGGCGCGGGCACCAGCACCAGGTTGTCGTCGTTCAGGGACACCTTCAGGGAACTGCCCGCGGCCAGGACCATCACGAAGGTGAGCGAGTCCCCGGCCGGGGCCCCCACCGGGTCTCCTAGGCTGGGCGCCGCGAGGGGTTCGAGGCCCGCGGGCTCATCCAATCGGCGGCGCTTGGCATGGTCGGGTCCTCCTGGCTGCGATCCGCACCAGGGCGCAGGGCAGGCGCTGGGGCTGCGGGGTCGGCTGCCCATTACCTCGACGGCGCTGTAGACCGCGCTCTTGGGCCTGGCAGAGGGCGTGGGAGCCGGGGCGCAGTCCTCTGTGAGGTAACAGGTGTCGGTGGTAGTCGAGGCGGACTGGGACGAACGGGGGTGCAAGACCGCGCTACACTAGGCGAGTCCTCGTAGCTCCGGGAGCGCCTCCGGAAGACCGCAGTCCGTGCTGCTGGGGGTGTCTCGCAGGCCGCTGGGCTCGGCCTCGCGCGTTGGAATCTTGGGCCTTCCTGGCGCAAAGCCGGATGCGCACTGCAAAACCAATTGTGTTTTAAGTGACGGCAGCGAAACCGAAGTCGCAAAATGTCACGCAATGTTCCGCCCCCTGGAGGACTCGCCCTAGAGGCAGAGGTATCCGTGCTGCCCAGTAGTCGGGGCTGTGGTTGGTAGGTCAAGCTGGGAAAATACTCTTACGGACCGCTAGGGGACAGAGCATCTGTGCCGCTCTAGGGCCTGGCGTCCAGTATCAAGTTCTTGTCCTCCTTTGCGTTGACGTCAGACGCGGAGTTGAAGACCGATTCATGTCCAGGTCATGCTAGTGGAGTGCCAAACCAAGACACCGAGTCCTACTCCCATCCTCCCAGGCCCCGTCCCGGAAGTGCCCTGCGCTTTACTGTTGGCCAATAGTGGCTTGCGTTCTTGGGTTCTCCTAGCTTGTACATCACTGTAATATCCTTTTAGGGGTCTTGGAAGGGAGAGTAAAGCTGGGATCCTGCGTGACGATGGCAGTCCCTACATTATTTGTTTATTATGATAGTTGGCACTCTAGTAATTGCAGTCTTCTCTTGATATCCCTGGAGGATTGGTTCCCGGACTCCCGCGTGGATACCAAAATCTGCGGATGCTCAAGTCTCATATAAAATGGTGTACATTTGCGTATCATTTACAGCTTTCCGTTATTTTAAAGCATCTCTAGAATACTTACAGTACCTAATACATTGTAAACGCTATACCCCTGGTTGCTACACAGATATCTATTATCTATCTATGTATAGATATGTAATATATACATATTTTGTTTGTTTTTGAGATTAGGTTTCATTCTGTCACCCAGGTTGGAGTGCTGTGGTGCAATCTCTGCTCACTGAAACCACCACTTCCTGGGCTCAGGTGATCCTCCCACCTCAGTTTCCTGAGTAGCTGGGATTACAGGCACGTTCCACCATACTTGGCTAATTTTTGTATTTTTTGTAGAACTGGAGTTTCACTATATTGCCCAGGCTGGACTCGAACCCCTGGGGTCAAGCGATCCACTGCCTTGCCTCCCAAAGTACTGGGACTACAGGCGTGAGCCACTGTGCCCGGTCACATATATATAGTGTGTGTGCGTTTTTTCCACCCCCCCGAAAATTTTTGGTCGTCTTTTGGTTGAATCTGCAAATGCGAAACCTGCGGATCCAGAGGACCAACTGTATTATGCTACAATCAGCTGAAGTATAGTTAACTTTATATAATTTGACCTAAACTATAACTCTGAGGTGTATCTGTTTTAGCCCAATTTATGGATGATGAAAATGTCATGCAGAAAGGTTAACCAACTTGCCCAAGAGCCAGGAACTAGCAACGCAGGGTCTGGCTTGCCCAGCTCCATTTAAAGTGATATACTTTCACAGTGTCAGCGTTTCTGACCCGTGCCAGCTGAAATGCACCTCTGCGTGGTGTCTCCAGGTGGTAAAAGGGAAGGTGTAGCTCAACTAGTCACCTAGTGTTAATAGGAGAAAATACTCCAAACTTATTTTGGAATAAGTAATGTTTTCAAGTGCTCACAGGGGACAACAAAGCATTTCCTCACATCTTTGTCTCCTAAGCATGTTATGTCCAACCTTGGCGGGCACCATTTTATATTTTATCATTCCAGAATATTCTTGTGCATTTAAAAGCTAATCTGATACACGTTATTTATCTCCCTCCCCTTTCTACAAAATTTATTCTTTTTTGGGGTTGCATAGCATTCCTTTGCATAGTCTTTAGATTTAAATCAAGCCTCTCTTGCTAGACAGTGGTCTATCATCACTTGGTGGCACTGTCATCCTCTGGTAGGTTCATGCAAAATGCAGATTATTTGCTCCATCCCAGAGCAACTGAATTGCAACTCTTGGAACGTGGGGCTTAGGCAATTTATGTGAGCACCTCCACGAAATTCTGTTTTACTGCAAAGTTCAAGATCATTGAACTTGTTTTTATTTCTCAGTTGAGGGGTTCAGGAATCCTGGCTTGTGATCAGGGTTATGCTTGTTGGTGTCAGTGTTATGTAGGGAATCCCAGCTTTCTGGGCTGCATTCAATGCTTTCCCTGAACAGCTGGCCTGTGGACTTCATCTGGATTAACGATGTGTTATTAATTGTCTTATTTTTGAATAGTAGGAGTTATTTATGTATTCTGGATACAAGTCCTTTATCAGATACATGATTTCTGCATATTTCCTCCAATTTGTGGATTAAAATTTTTTTCTCATGAATATTTTCTATAAATATTGTATTTATTTTCTTTTTTTCCCCCAACTTTTAAGTTCATGGGTACATGTGTAGGATGTGCAGGCTTGTTCCATAGGTAAACATAGTGTGCCATGGTGGTTTGCCGCACAGATCATCCCATCTCCTGGGTATTAAGCCCAGCATCCATTAGCTATTCTTCCTGATGCTCTCCCTCTCTCTGCCCCCGACAGGCCCCAGTGTGTGTTGTCCCCACTCCATGTGTCCATGTAATCTCATCATTCAGTTCCTACTTATAAGTGAGAACATGCAGTATTTGGTTTTCTGTTTTTCCATTAGTTTACTGAGGATGATGACTTCCAAATCCATCCATGTCCCTGCAGAGGTCATGATCTCCTTCCTTTTTATGGTTGCATAGTATTCTGTGGAGTATATGTATCACATTTTCTTTATCAAGTCTATCATTGGATAATGCCTATTGATGCCCATTGATGAGCATTTAGGCCTTTGGTATTGTGAATAGTGTTCTAACGAACAAATGTGTGCATATATCTTCATAATAGAATAATTTGTATTCCTTTGGGTATATACCCAGTAATTGGATTGCTGGGGCAAATGGTATTTCTGCCTCTAGGTCTTTGAGGAATTCCCACATTGTCTTTCACAATGGTTGAACTAATTTACACTCTCACCAACAGTGTAAAAGCATTCCTTTTCCCCCCACAACCTCATCAGCATCCATTGTTTTTTGATTTGTTATTAATAGTCATTCTGACTGGTGTGAGGTGGTATTTCATTGTGGCTTTGATTTGCATTTCTCTAATAATTAGTAATGCTGAGCTTTTTTTCATGTTTGTTGGCCATATGTATGTCTTCTTTTGAGAAGTGTCTGTTCATGTCCTTTGCCCACTTTATAATGGGGTTATTCGGTTTTTTGTAATTTTGTTTAAGTTCCTGTAGATTCTAGATATTAGGCCTTTGTTAGATGAATTGATTGCAAAAATTTTCTCCCATTCTGTAGGTTGTCTCTTGACTCTGATGATGGTTTCTTTTGCTGTGCAGAAGCTCTTTAATTTGATTAAATCTCATTGTCAATTGTTTTGTTGTAATTGCATTTGGTGTTTTCATCATGAAATCTTTGCCCATACCTATGTCCTGAATGGTATTGCTTAGATTTTCTTTTTTTTTTTTCAAGAACAGTCTGGAATGATCCAGGTGATTTTTTTTTTTGAGAACAGTTTTGCCTAGAATTTCTTCTAGGGTTTTTATAGTTTCAGCTTTTACATTTAAGTCCTTAATCCATCTTCAGTTAATTTTTGTATATGGTATGAGAAAGGGGTCCAGTTTCAATTTTCTTCATATGGCTAGCCAGTTCTCCTAGTACTATTTACTAAACAGGAAATCCTTTCTTCATTGCATTTATTTTCGTATTGGTGACTTCTGAAGTGCAAAAGTCTTAAATTTTGATGAAGTTTAAAATATTTAAATAATAGATTGTGCTTTTGCTGTTATATCTATGAACTTTGTCTAAGCTCATGAAGATTTTCTTTTTTTTCCTATAAATTAATAGTTTTAGTTTTTACATTGAGGTGTATGATCCATTTTGAGTTAATTTTTTGTGTATGATGTGAAGTAATAATTTGTTTATTTTTTGAAGGTGTATATGCCATTCCTAAAAAAATACTATCCTTTTTACATTTAATGGATACATTGGCCTCATATATAGTTTATCCTAGAGAATGTTCCATGTTTACTTTAAAAGCATGTGGATTCAGCAGTCATTGGATTGATTGTTCTATATATGTCGGGTTGAGTTGGCACTTGGCTCTTTTGTGAAAAATAAATTGACGATAAACGCAAATATTTATGTTTGGACTCACAGTTTAGTTTCTTAGCTGAGGGTGGTGGCACATGCCTATAGTTTCAGCTACTTGGGAGTCTGGGCAGTACAATCACTTGAACCTGGGAGGTGGAGGATACAGTGAGCCAAAATTATGCCACTGCACTCCAGCCTGGGTAACAGAGCAAGACTCTGTCTCAAAAGAAAAAAAAAATCATTATGGCGATTTTGGGTCTTTTGCATTTCCATGTGAATTTTGGGATCAGCTTGTCAGATTCTATAAGATAACTACTGGATTTTGATAAGGACTGTGTTGAATTTATGGATCAATCTGGCAAGAATTGCCTTCTTCACAATATTGAGTCTTTTCAATCACCAACATGGAATATCTTCCATTTATTTAAATCTTCTGTAATTTCTTTCATCTATGTTTTGTTGTTCTAAATGTACAAGTCTTGTACTCATTTTGTTAAATTTATTCCTATTTTTTCTTTTTATGGTATTATGAATAGAACTTCTTTTTAATTTCATTTTTTAGAACATTGCCAGTATGTGAAAATACAGTTGATTTTTCTATTTTGATCTTGTATCTTAACAACCTTGCTAAACTTGTTATTAGTTCTGGATTTTTTTTGGGTGGATTCCTGGGGATATTCAACATATAATATTTCATCACTTGAAGAATAAATATGGTTTTACTTCTCATTTTCCAATCTAGATGCCTTTAACTTCTTTTTCTTTTCTTTTTGCACTGCCTCGAATGTCTAGTAAAATGTTGAGTAGAAGTATTTGTAGTGGAATTCTTGCCTTTTTTCTCATCTTAGAGAGGAAAGCACCATTTCTCCTTTCACCATTAAGTATGATGTCAGCTGTGATGTCTTAGATGTTCTTTGTTTTGTTTTATTTTGAGATCTCACTCTGTCACTCAGACTGCAGTGTAGTGGCATGATCTTGGTTCACTGTAGCCTCAGCCTCCTGGGCTCAAGCAATACTCCCACCTCCCAAGTAGCTGGGACTACAGGTATGGGCCATCCTGCTCAGCTAATTTTTGTATTTTTTGTAGAGACAGTGTTTTGCCATGTTGCCCAGGCTCTTGAACTCCTTAGCTCAAGATATCCACCTGCCTCGGCCTTTCAAAGTGCTGGGATTACAGGTGTGACCACAATGCCTTGCCTTAGATGTCCTTTATTAGATTGATAAAATTGCCTTCCATTCTTAGGCTATGGAGTTTATATCATGAATAGGTACTGGATTTTGTCAGATGCTTTCTTCCTTCTGAATCTGTTGAGTGTATTGTATAGTTTTGTTCTTTATTTT